GGCAATAATTTAATGTACTTGCACGGGACAAGGCTTTGAGGTGCTTGCTCGGTAGCAAGGCTTTGATGTGCTTGCACGGGGAAATGCTTTAAAGTGCTTGTTCGGTGGCAAGGCTTCGAGGTGCTTACACGGTGGCAAAACTTTGATGTGCCTGCACGGGACAGGGCTTTGAGGTGCTTGCTCGGTGGCAAAGCTTTGATGTGCTTGTACGAGTTAAGGCTTTAAGGTCTAAGAATATATCGCTGGGATAAAAATCCCGACCTTATTTATTCCAGCAAGCTTATCGTTCCTAAATACCGAAAGTGGGCGTGAAGGCCTAGTCAATCTTAAAAGTAAAATGATACTGGGCATCCCATCCCGACCAACTAAAATGTAAACTGAATATGGGGCATGCAAGCCAAATCAATTGAAAAGTAAACTGAGCACGAGGTATACAAGCCCAATCAACTGAAAATGGAAAATAAGATATTAATAAGTGATAGTAAAATAAACTACTTGTAATAAATTTTCAATTATCAGCATTCCAAAACCTATGGAATGGCCTTCCCGAGGTGTCTCTCTAATTGTATGCTCATTTGCGAACCTATCTTCTAACTTCGAAGGGTCCTTCCCAAATGGCTCTTAGCTTGCATGTGGCATGATGTGCTGCTTCAACTCTTCTCAAGACGACATCTCCAACCTTGAACGGCCTATATCTTACCCTGCGATTAAAGTGCTTTGCAATTTTGCCCTAGTAAGATGCCGCCCTGATGGAGGGTCTGGGCTTAAGCCTCATTAGGCTTGGTAGTCTGGTCTCGATTGGAAGTGTGCTACCACCCCGAATGCCAACATAAAGGGGGTCTCTTTGGTTGCGATCTTGTGGGACGTCCTATATGACCAAAGTATAGAAGGTAGTTCTTCTGGCCAAGTTCCTCTAGCTTTCCCGAGCCTTTTTTTGAGGTCTTGCAAGATAATTCGATTTGTAACCTCGGTTAGGCCATTGCTCTGAGGGTGTGCAATCGACGTAAGGCATTGGTCAATCCCCAAGTTGGTGCAAAAGCTCATGAACTATTGGTTATCAAATTGTCTTCCGTTGTCTGTTATGAAGACCTTAGGTATTCTGAACCTGCAAAGTATGGACCTCAAAAAGAATAACCTCAGCTAGGGGCTCGACCTAGGCCATTTAGTGAAATATTCCACAGCTATGGCAATGAACTTCAATTGTCCTCGAGTGAGTGGAAAGAACCCAGGATATCTACAGCCCATTGCTCGAATGGGGCCGCGCAATGTGTTCACAAAAATATGTTCGCTTTATAAATCAGCGTAAGTGCACAATTTGTTAACAAGTAATAAAGTGAAAATTGTAAAATTTCGAGTATCATCACATGAGGATTGATTTAATTTGATTTCTATTACCGAGACCTTAATCGAATCTATTTAACTCAAGATAGTTGATGATTTGAATTTTATAATTAAAGTATAACTAAAATGCAATTTAAACTAAGGTCACTAAATAAATGCAAAATGATCTTGAATGCAAAAGATTGAAGAAATTAATGAATGAAAAATGCACTAGAATCCCGAATCACCAATCAAGTTCACGTTTATCCTCTATTTCACAATTCGATAACATGATGAATTGGTTGAAAAATCAACGTTTCTAACTTATCGAACAATCTATTCTGAGTAAAATTGAACCTATTCTTGCATACAATTTGACTATATTTCTATGACAAATACAATATATAAGAATGCATGACGTTTTGTAAACACTTAAAGATTCACATAATGTATATCGGTATATTTCTATTCTCTATGAACAAAATGATGATTTATACCTTATTGAGTTTATTTCTATTTTTTCGAATGCATAAAATAAACAACTCAAACTCACACAATTATCGTGCACTATAATTATGGAGGCAAGAACGTGTATATAAATCATTCAACATCCATCAAACGTGTTTAAATATCAAATTGCAAAATAGAAATTAAAAGATCACAATGTGAGGTTCATCGTTCACTTAGTACATAAAAATTGTAGCCTAACATGGATAAAATAAAAGAATAATGAAAATAATAAAGAAAAGACATCACCAAAAAACTAAGAATTAGGGTTGAAATCTTGAATCTTGAATGAAATCCCTTGTTCTCGCCCTCTTCCTTACTTTTCAATCGTGTTTTTCTCTCTAAGAATGTTCCCCTCTTTTTGGACGAGATTGGGGTTATAAAGAAGTTCTAGATGTGTTGTCATAATTGTTTGATTCAAATAAGGAAGCCATAAAATTCGCGCCCAAAATGAACCTTGCGACTGCATGGTATATACCCATGCGATAGCATGATTATAAAAAAATTTCACTATTCATCTCTTGTAGATGCTTGGGAGACTACATGGAATTTTTATCATGCGACTACATGGTAGAAATTATTTTCCATTCGATTCACTTTGGTTCCCAAGTTTGTTTCATCCAATTTTTGACCTTGATTCCTTCTCCTTCTTCTAATATCCCACGCTATCACAATGTGTTACTTAACTCAATTCTTGCTTGATTCACCATTTGGGTCATCTTCTCAATAATTGCATTTTGGTCCTCGAAGTTTCATGATCTTCCATTTTGATCATTTTTCGTTCATTTTCTCATACTCTTTATTCCATCCATCAAAATCCTACAAACACAAATTATATCGAATTAAGCCATATTTCAACATATACATAAACAATTTTCCATATTTTGTGACTTAAATAAGTGTACAAAAGGCACTTATCACAATGAATGGGGTCAAGTCCTCTGCCGGAGAATAGATGACGTTGTCGAACCACCATGCTGGTGGTTAGGGACCCATTTGATGAAGAATCCACCATGCTCCTGAAAGTTTGAAGCAGTCCTGTATAGAAAAACCTGATTTGTGTTGTCTTGTTGAACCCATATTGAGAACACTTTCGTAGCATGTTTTTGAACCTGTTCCAAGCTTCATCAAAGGATTCATCTTCAGTTTGGCTGAATATTGATATTTCGTGCCTTAGTCTTGCCACTTTAGCCTGTGGGAAGAATTTGGTGTAGAATTTATGAGCCAAGTTGTCACAAGTAGTTATACTTGCCACCGTGAGTGAATCAAGTCACTCAAGTGCTTTATCCCGAAGAGTGTGTGGAAACAACCTCAGTCTGATTGCATTTTCGGATATCCCCTGGTATTTGAAATGTTGACACGTATCCTAGAAACGAGATACATGTTTATATGGATTCTCATTGGCCATTCCGTAGAATTGATGTCCATTATGAAAGAGTTGGATGACATTTATCTTCAGCTGAAAATTTGGTTGTCCAAATGCTGGTAAACAATATTGGATTGGCTTTGAATGACGAACGGCGACAAAAAATCTCCAAGCAAAGTGTTCCCATCATATTGTGCTTTTGCATATGCTGGAGCTACATGATTTACTCTTTGTTCGAGTTGTTGATCAACCATTTCTATTTGTCCTTGATTGACCTGATGTGCTACTCTTTCTATCCTCTGCCTGCGATGAAAAGTTCGTTCAATTTCCAAATCAGCTTGAAGTAATTCACTGATGATTGATCTTTACATGTGATACTGAAGAAGCTACGAATAGTAGCACTTAGCTCAGCTAATGACTTAATATAAAATAAAATGTAAACTAAAATAAAGAAAAGCAAAATGTTCGAATTAGTGCCTAAATAACAAAAATCAAATTAAAACTCAATCCCGGCAAGGGCGTCAAAAACATGTTCATCGAAAATATGTTTGCTTTGTAAATCACAGCAAGTGCACGGTTTGTTAACAAATAATAAAGTGAAAATTGTAAAATTTCGAGTATCGTCCCACGAGAATTGATTTAATTTAATTTCTATTACCGAGACCTTAACCAAATCTATATAACTCAAAATAGTTGATGATTTGAATTTTATAATTAAAGTATGACTAAAATGCAATTTAAACTAAGATTACTAAATAAATGGAAAATGATCTTGAATGCAAAAGGTTAAAAAAATTAATGTTTGAAAAATGCACTAGGATTCCGAATCACCAATCAAGTTCACGTTTAACCTCTATTTTACAATTCGATAACGCGATGAATTGATTGAAGAATCAATGTTTCTAACTTATTCAACAATGTCTTTCGAGTAGAATTGAATATATTTTTGCATATCATTTGACTATATTTCTATGACAAATGTAATATACAAGAATACATGACGTTTTGTAAACACTTGAAGATTCACGTAATACATATCGGTATATTTCTATCTTTGATGAACAAAACGATGATTTATACCTTCTTAGATTTATTTTCCTCCTTTCGAATGTATAAAATAAACCACCAAAACTCACACAATTATCGTACACTATAATCATGGAGGCAAGAAAGTGTATATAAATCATTCAACATCCATCAAATGTGTTTAAATATCAAATTGCAAAATAGAAATTAAAAGATCACAATGCGAGGTTTTTCGTTCACCTGGTACATAACAAGTCTAGCCTAACATGGATAAAATAAAAGAATAATAAAAATAATAAAGTGAAGATATCACCAAAAAACTAATAATTATGGTTGAAATCTTGAATGAAATCCCCTTATTCTTACCCTCTTCCTTACTCTTCAATGGTGTTTTTCTCTCTAAAAATGTGTTCCCCTCTTTTTGGACTAGATTTGGGTTATAAAAAAGTCCTAGATGCGTTGCCATAAGTGTTTGATTCAAATAAGGAAACCATAAAATTCGCGTCCAGAATGAACCATGCGACTGCGTGATTATAAAATTTTTCACTGTTCATCTCGTGTAGATGCTTGGGCGACTGTATAGACTTTCTATCATGGGACTGCATGGTAGAAATTATTTTTCCTTTGATTCACTTTGGTCCCCAAGTTTGTTTCATCCACCTTTTGACCTTGATTTCTTCTCCTTCTTCTTCTAACATCCCATGATATCACAATTTGTTACTTAGCCCAATTCCATAATTGATTCACCATTTGGGTCATCTTTTGAACAATTGCATTTTGATCATCGAAGTTTCATGTTCTTCCATTTTGGTCCTTTTTCGTTCGTTTTCTCATACATTGGTGCTCGAGCTCGAATGCTCCTTGTCAAAGGCGGATCATCCGGAAAATTTTCATTAGTTATGAAATCAATTATTGTGTCCATTAAATAAGGCTCATGCTCAATATTCATGACAGATGGTGATTGACTTATGCTTGACTTTGTTACAAATTTGACGTGAACTGTCTTATCCAGACCATGAGTCCCCATAAACGCGAGCCTGGTTAAGGCATCGACCTTATAATTTTCGTTTCGGGATATCTTAACAATATCACAACTTTTGAATCGTCTTTGAAGACCATGAACCCTTAGGCAGTATAAGCTCAAATCCTCATCCTTTCTCTCAAACGTCCCCTCAATCTGTCCAACCACTAGCTGCGAATCGCTGAAAATTTTTATATGCTCAAGCTCAAGATTAATGGGAAGATCTGGCGTAATTATAACTGCTTCATACTCTACCTCATTATTTGTAGCGTCAAATTCAAATATGAGTGCACATTGTACTTCTATGTGTCAGTTCGGGCAGATGATTATGACGCCTGCACTCGATCCTTAGCTGTTCGATGCTCCATCCACAAATATTTTTCATATGTCGGTGACCTCCGTGGTTGAGCTATCTATTGGCCCCCGAGGCCTTTCCCGAGGCCTTGGGGTGAGTTCTACTATGAAGTCGGCCATGGCTTGTGCTTTAATCAAGGGTTGGGGCTTGAATTTAACGTCAAATTCTCCAAGTTCAATGGCCCACTTCAGTAACCTTCTAGAGCCATCGGGCGTCTGGAGTATATGTTTGAGTGGTTGATTTGTGAGAACGACAATTGGATGAGATTGAAAATATTATCTTAATTTTCGTGCTGTCAACACCAGGGCAAGAGCTAACTACTTGGCCAAAGTATACCTGGTCTCTACATCAACCAATACTTTACTTACGCAGTGGATTGGTTTTTAAGTTCTGTCGACCTCTTTTACCAACACGCCATTGACCGCGTCCTAAGAAACTGCTAAGTATAGAAATAGAGTATCTTTAGACTCCGACCTTGTAAGAATTGACGCGGTTGCCAACGTCTGCTTGAGCTCCTGGAATGCTCTCTCATAATTTTCATTCCATTCAAAGTCATGATTTTCCTTTAGAGCCTTGAAAAATGGGAAGCATCTATCGACTGTACGAGATAAGAACTTGTTCAGGCGACGATGCGGTCGATTAGTTTCTGGACCTTCTTCTTGTTCCTAGGGGACTCCATGGATGTCGGTGCATTTATTTTGTTTGGGTTGGCTTCAATCCCCCTGTGCGTGATCATAAAGCCCAAAAATTTGCCCAAGGTGACTCCAAAGGTGCACTTTGTTGGATTCAACTTCATTTTATAATTTCGTAGGGTGGAGAAGACCTCCTCAAGATCTACTATGTGTTGCTCCACTTATTTGCTCTTGACTACCATGTCATCCATAAGTTTCAACATTTTTCCCAATCATTTTTGCAAAGATTTTGTTGATGAGTATCTGATAAGTCACTACTGCATTCTTCAATCTAAATGGCATGACCTTATAACAATATATGGCTGAATCAGCCATTAATGATGTCTTTCCCTAGTCATCCTCAGCCATGAAGATTTGATGATATCCGAAAAATGCATCGAGGAAGCTGTACAATTTATATCCCGACGTGCTGTCCAAGAGGTTGTCGATCCGAGGTAGGGGACAGCTATCTTTTGGGCATGCCTTGTTAAGATCTGTGAAGTCGATACAGACTCTTCATTTTTCATTGGCCTTCTCATCGAGCATTTCATTGGTGAGCCAGTCGGGGTATTGAACTTCCTGAATAAACCGATCATTGATCAACTTATCAATTTCCTTTCAAATGACCTCAAGTCGTTCTAGTGTGAATTGTCTTTTCCTTTGTTTGATCAGTTTCGCTTCTGGACTGATATTGAGTTTGTGGACCGCAATGCTCGGGTTTATCTCGGGCATATCCTCGACACTCCAGGCGAACACATCTATATTGCGGGATAGGAAACTTACCGGTATCTCCACGAGATTGGCGTCAAGACCCCGACTAATCGTCACCTTTTTGCTGGGCTCGAGCTCGAGCTCGACCTCTACCACCTCTTCCACTGGGGCAAGTCAAACTTCGTGGTACGGCTCGGGTCCGAATGATGAGATATGCATGACGTTGGTGCTTATTTCTCAAACATTTGTTAAGTAGCACTGTCTAGCAGATAACTGGTCCCTGCACACTACCCCGACACCATTATTGGTAGGGAACTTCATAGCGGGTGGAAAATAGAAACAATAGCACTGATCTTGTTTAGTAATGACCTTCCTAGAATGGCATTGTAGGCCATTGAAGCGCGAACTACCTGGAATGATGTAATTTATGTTACCTGCTTCTGATTCGACCCTAGCGTGAGTGGAAGATTGACAATTTCCTCCGGAATGATTTTACAGCCTCCAAATCCCTGAAGTAGGGTTTTAATAGCTTTAAGTTGTTTGACCGGAATCCCCATCCTAGAGTATACCTCATGAGAGAGCACGTTGGCTGGTATCATCTTTTCCTCAAAGTTGGCTATGATCACTGATATGACCAATGCATCATTATGTGGACGTGACAAACCTTCCAAGTTTTGTAACCCAAACGTGATTTCTTCCATATCATCAAGCGTCATCCTCAAGCTTCGGCTATACTGCTTGCATCCACTATTTGAGTCTCATCCTGATACTATCCCCCCAATAATAAGGTTAATCGTTCTGTAGTTGGCTTATGATCCCCCTCTCTTGGGACCCTTGTTGCTGTCTCGATCATTCCTCAGGCGCTTGTCATGACTGACATATGAACTTATATATCCCATTTTTACTAAAGCCTCAATCTCTCGCTGGAAGGCTTTGCAGTTCTCTCTTGTATGCACATGGTCCCGATGGTAATCGCAGTTCTTGCTCCTGTCTCAAGTGCTAGGAGGGGATTGCATCCTCGATGGTCATTTGAACTCTTTCATGTCCTTGATCTCCATCAAAATGTTAGATATGGAAGTGTTCGATCGGGTTAATGACGCCGGCTGTGTCTCATGCTTCTGCTTATTCTTGTTAGCTTCTGGACGAGGATTAAAATCATGTTGCCTTATGTGTTCGGGATTCTCAGAGGTCGGGTGAAGATTTCTCTCAGGTTCAAAGTTTACTCCATATTAATGTATTCTTCTTCTCGGGTAAGTAGCTCAGTTATGGACCTCGACGGGTTTGTTGAGATGGACATCTTGAAAGCATCACCCCTTATAGCATATGTGAGGATAAAGATTGCTGCTGTTATGTAAGGTAGGGTATCTGAAGCCTTTCCTTGTTGAACCTGATCATGAAGTTACGTGGGGGTTCATTCGGTCCCTGCCTAAGCTGCATGAGAGATACGATAGTTCTTGATACGTTTGCTGCTAGCAAAAAAAGTGGAAAACTTGTCGGCCAAGTCAGAGAATGAAGCAATGGAATTGGGCTCTAGGGTAGAAAACCAATCCCTAGCAGCATTGGTCATTGTTTGCAAAAAAGCTTTGCAGATTACGGGATCTGGTGCCATATTTAGATTCATGACGTCCGTATACATATTGAGATGGTTGATAGGGTCAGTTGTTCCATTATACTCCTTCATCTGGGGAAGTTTAAACCTATTTGGGAGCAAATAGGAGAGCACTTCCAGCGTGAAAGGAATGTTGGGGATAAACCTCATCATACCTTGGGTGTTCTTTTGGAGTCCAGCAGTGATTCCATCGGTATGATCTTGGCTAGTTCGCATGAGTCCATAGTGACCAACCTCGAGGCCGATGCTACTGGTAGCACACTCGAGGCCTCAGATCCACCATTATCATAAACTTCTAGAGTATCCCAAGCTCGAGCATCGGCCATGAACCCTCCTGGTTGCCGTACTGTTAGTTGTTCCAGCGTCAGATGAGTATCCATTTGGTTTAGTAATTCGGTCAGCATTGTCAATTGTTGACGAAGTTCCTCGAAGGCACCCGCATCAACCACCTGCGGTTGGGCAGCTAGTACTATAGATGATTCATCTTGATGAGCTAGAGGCTCCACAACTGATAGTAGGTTTGGTATGGATGAACTTGCTGGGGAAAGACCTGAATGTGTGTTAACCATAGCTTTTGGTAGGGATTCCTACAGATGGCGCCAATGATGCTACCAAAAATCATACATGTCGACTTTCGAGCTTGACGACTGAGAATTAGCACCAACGAGGTCTTTCGATACCTAAAACAAAGGCATCGAAGTGTGTCTTCATCGCTCCTCCGATACTTAAGTCAGAGAGAGAATTTATGAAAAGATGTACGCTGAAGAATTATGTAAAAACGTTAATGAACATGAATGATGTATTTATAGAGAGAGGTTGGGTGACACAGTCCTAGTAGGATCACAATGTTGAGATCCCCAGGGGTTCTAACATGATTGAAAGTCTTTACTTTATTGGTTCCGTATTAACCACATGTTTGGATATAAGTGAAATTCTAGTGGTCGAATCTTTTTAAGATGAAATAACGTACCAGCACTAGGACTTTATCTCTCTTTTGGGTTTGGATAATCCTTGATACGAGGGAAAATCTTACTAAGTCAAGGGCTGAATGACACTAGAATCTCAAAGACATCACGATGGCCAAGGACAAATTCCCGAAGAGTCATGCTCGAGGAAGAAAATGCAATGCGGCACAAGTTGGAACAATTTATCGTAGGGCTTAATCCGCGAGCTAAACCAATTTTGAGATCATCACTATTAAAATACCGATGTAGTGTTTTTGTATTTGTCATATATTGCAGGAATGAGATTATATAATACAGAAGGCTACATGGTTCCACAGTAAAATTACAACGAATGCAACCAAAAAAGTGCTGACAAATTTCATATCGAAGATCAACTCTGCACCAAAACAAACACTATCTAATACTTGCTTCTCTTATTTATTAGATTGTAGTGAGATAGTTGTTCAATTTCAGCTAATCCATTATTTTCTACTGTGGGAGGTAAAGCAACTGAACAAAAAGGAGATGTGGTTTGGGGACTAAAGTACAAGGGTCAGGATATAAGGAGCAACCTTCAAAATACACAGTTCAAGATTAAGGAACTGGACACTTGAACTTAGTGACCAATGAAGATGTTAGAGACATCTTCCTTGGTTTAACGAATGCAGATGATCATGATGTGGTTAGCATTGAGATTCTTTATTTGATAACATCATACCTTTTTTTGACCTCATAAAAGAAGGTTGTTGAGAACTACTCTTTTGCTCTTGTTAACGATTTTGATACTATGAACATGTTTTCATGGGAGAAAAATTTCTTTGATCTTTCCATATCTCGCTAAAGGATGGTTTGAGTAATGGAAATTCTCATTACAGACTTAAAGAATTCTAGTTGCCTTCTAAGTTTGGATTTATGAGTCTATTTTACGACTAGATGGGACAGTAACTTCTAGGATTCGAAGGAGGTACCCAGGTAACTTGAATTGGAGATCATTGGTGCTAAACTTGAAGAAGAGGTGTTTTCAAACCTGAATTTTAGTTTTCATTTCATTTGTGTATTACATAAATAAGTCACAAATAGGTCACAGTTCACCTAATAGAGTCACATGTCACATTTTATATTGTGCAGTCACATGATAAATCATATGGCATGTTTCACATGTCACAGTACTCATCGATTTGTAAGATATGTAACCGTTCTTGTTATTAGTCACAACTTCCTACTTTAGGCAGTCAAAATTTACATTTTTCAGTCAATATACATGTCACAGTAAATAGGTTTCATGACAAGTCTTTTCATTTATTTACAGTTGGAAGTACAAGACATCAATCCATCCAAAACGGAGATGGTGCAGCCATACATGGAAGGTGTTTCATATAACAAACCACATCAACCATCGCTGCCATGTGCCAGTACAAGTTTAAAGCTCCAGCAACCAATCAAAAAGTCTAAATCACGCATTCTAATCATTACTAAAGGACGATTGGGACATTCCAGTGATATCGAGGATGACGACTATGATTTTGTTGATCCATCTCCAAGAAGACAGAGGGCATCTTTTTCTGTCCGTACTTCAATGGATCCTCCGATCAAGCCACACACTACGCACATTCATTCCTTGGTAGATGAGGGTCCAACTGTTGATATGTCTCCACCTCCGGCAGTACATGCATATAGATCTAATGTATGTTGCTATCTTTATTTGAAGTTTTGTTATGTTTATTGATTTATAAAATATTATCATATTTGTGTATTTTATTTTTGAGTTCAGGTTTTGAATTTCAATGTGCATGCTAATTCTAGGTCGAGTTTCATATTCCTCTCTTTTATATACATTTTAAGACGATGTCACATGACACTTCATTCAAATCACAATTGAATATGAATTGGTCACAAATGTTTAATAAAAGTTCATATTTTAAACAATTGTTGTTTACGTAGTTCACATGTACATACGTAGTTGTGACATACCTTTGTGAACTTACCACATGTTATTTAGACAGGTCACAAATATAGATGCATCGGTCACATGCCATAATGTTCAAAGTCATAGACAACTATGCATAAATCACACATAATTCATATACCTTGATACCTTACATTATTCATATCATTGATATATGTCAAATTTCATAGGTGTTAGAGAGTTTGAAAATTGAAATTAGTGAACTTCAAACGAAAAATAAGGAGTTGTGTACGCAAATCAATGATGTGAGCACATTTATCATCAGTAAATGATGAATATCATTGTTCTTATGCAAGTATAAATCAGGTCACACTTGTTGGAGATGAAGTCAAAAATGAACTTCTATCTAAATCTGTGACCGCAATGATATCAAGCTCAATTGACCAAAATTTGAACATATTTAAAGAAAATTACTTAGTGCTGGAGTTAGAAACATTCAGGAAGAAGTGAGTTCATTCTACTACCAAATTTGACATCTTTATTTGTAACTTCTTGAATTTTCATACATAAATGTACCATTGTAGGGGAAGAATGTCGAAGAAACTGTTGATAAGAAAGGAAAAGGCAAAATGTACCCCAATAAGCAATTATTCGACCCAATGACATTGGAATTGCTATCATTTGACATAGGGATTGGTTCTACGCAACCTACTCTAAATGTTGGCAACATTATGTCACAATTGATTCAATCAAAACAAGTTCAAGAACAAGTCGATAATGTAATCGTCCATGTAGTGAAGGACTGAAAATGTAAACATCAAGAGGTTTGTAGTTAAAAAACTCATTTATGCACAAAAGTTACATTTTACCTTTCTTAACTCACAAAATGAACTATTGTGTTTAATGTTTCACTATATGACATGTATCACATACTTCCGTACCCACGTTCGATCTGCCATTGAAGCATGTCTCTAGACCGGTAAGAATATTGCCGTCTCTTTTTGTTTCTAATGAATGGAATCAAAGCAAGAGTTTTGAGAATGTTGTAGTTTTTGGATATTATAATCGGTATGCAGATGGTGCTGATGTTGCAACATTTCAGAGCTGGTTCCATAGAGGTTACAAACAAATAAACAAGTATGTATAACATTATTTTGTGAACTACAATATATACCAGTTGAAAATAAGGATATCTAATTTGTTATTTGTTTCTCTTTATAGGAAAAAATTCAATGACACTAACGATGTAATTAAGCCCCCCCTTTTACATTGGAACATTCGCCATAGTCAACAAAACATTATGGCATGAACTTGTTTTTCCAGACGATTCATTGACCAATTCGGTTTGTAAATATCACATATCATTCTATATATGTATCATAGCATTGGGACTGTATCACTTGCTGTAGGACACATATATATACAAGTCACAGACATTATGGTCAGGTCACAGAACACATGCTAAGGCCACATACCATATACACACATCACTGTTCATTAGTTAGAATTCCGATAAAATAGTTTACATACCGTATACACAAGTCACACACATTATGATCAGATCACATAAATTTCATACATTACAGAACATATAATAAGGTCACATATCACATACAAACATCATTTTTAATTCATCAAAAGTCGCATACCGTGAGTTACATACCATATACACAAGTCACACACATTATGGTCAGGTCACATAAATTATATACAGGTCACAAAACATATGGACATGTCACATATAATATACAAACATCATTGTTCATTTAGATCCTGAAGACTAATCAGTTGTTTAACATTGTGCATGGTGACAGTAAATGGATGCATGCTTCTATTACCTTCGCCAATTAGCACGTTGTGGTGAGAATGTTAAGTTTAAGTCTACCATAATTGACTTATACTTTCAAACTATGATCAAGAATATATATCTAAAATTCATAAAGGATCTGAACGTTCTACTTACGGAGACAAAGGTAATTAGTGATATCACACGTATCAGAATACCATTGAGCAGTCCATGGACTGAATTGAACCAAGTGTTAATGCCAATTTTTTCCTACAAACAAGGCACAATGGATGTTGACGTTGCTTGATATTAATGCTCGCGCATTGATTATATTCAATACGGCTAGGAATACCTTTACAGATTTAAAATTGAACCATATTTGAAAATCATCCCTCATTTGAGGATGTAATTGGAATATGGAATAGACCTTCAGATGATGATCAAGATGATTCCATGGAGTTGAGACTTGCGTTAGGTTATGAAAGGCTACAACAACAAAATGGGTATGTATGTAACAATCATTTTAACGTATTAGTTGACTAAAGAAATATCAATTTTGTGACCACCATTTCAATGTAAAAGCTAATAAACTGACTTTCTTTTTTTCAGTCATGATTGCAGAATATTTGTGATCAAATATGCTGAACACATTCTTCATAATGACTTATAATCTATGCCAAAGGATTTTGATACTGCCAGAGCACGGCTGGATATAGCTGCACTGTTTTATAAGCACCGTGAAAT